TTTACTCTATGCTGTAAGTTTAAGTCAGCTCTGCAATATGGGAAGGCAAATTTTCATACAAATATATTAACACAAATCAAATGTTCAATATATTATTTTGGAGCATTGTGTGTTTAAGCTCCTGGCTTCCTCTTTTTTGAGGTTGTTTGACTTGCTTTGAAACAAGAAAGCCGATCAGGCATAGTTCACACAAACGTTGAAAATTTTCTCTAAATTTCTCTTCATTTCGCTACTTTTCCTGGACATTTCTGTACATGAGTGCATGCTTACCGTTTCAGGTGCCTTCGTTTGGCTCCTCTCAAACTCCTCTGATAATCTCTCTCGCGAACGCATCTCCGTGCTATCCTCATCCCTGGATTTACTCTTTTTCGACGGTTTCCTCGACTTTCGCATCTTCCGCAGTTTTCGCTTTCGCGACGGTGGCTCCACTTCCTGAATCGCCGAGCAATTAAAGGCCAACAATTAGCATTGTCTGCTGCTCCTATTCCCAAACACACGCCTCTGTGAAGTGTTTCTTTGAGTCAAGTGCGGGAATTTTCTTTGACTCAAAGCGGCGGAATCAGGAACTGAAGAGGCGTAGAGAAAGCGAAAGAGATCCGCGAGTATAACTGACGCAACAAGAGAAGTATGATGTTTGATTCTGTACGGTTCAATGACCACATGGAATGTGATAAAAATTCAGATGACAATTGACTTAATTACGTGGATGTATTTTAGCGCAAAAATCTATTTCATGCTCATTTACTCATTCAATCTCATTCGGGAACTTCCGCAGCACCTGAACTTCCGCAGGTAATGGCGGAACTTTCCCAAACATTCTGCAAAAGTGTCGGTCAAATGTCCGAGTAGAAGTAAACAAAAGACGTGATTGACTAGCAACGTAAATCCAGCTGTAAGAGATAGTGTAGAAAAAAATCGCGAGATCTTTTCACAAAAAATCGGGACACAAGGAGATAGCTAAGCCAATGATTAGAGACTAAAAGAAAAAGATTTTTGAAACTAGTTACAAAAAAAACTTTTAGCAGCAAGCGAACCAACCTCTCTATGTTGTTCCATGACCTCTTTTAATTCCTCTCCCCTTGTGAGAGTTCGAATTTGCTCCATTTCTGCTGCGGTTGCTGTCTCGATGGTCCGAATCCGGAGTGGACTAGCTTGCGCTGCCTAAAGATTCAAATCAGCTTTTGCAAAGGATCACTGTTTCTGAGTAACCTTTAGGGCCAATCTTGGAGGCAGAGCAGCTTCGTCCTCAAAGACTCGCGCTGTTTTTCGCTGTTCTTCCTCGCTGGGCAAAATTGTTTTGAAAATTTTTGTTGTTGGGTAATCGCTGGTCGTACTGGACCTAAAGGCTGCGATGAGGTCCCTTTGTAAGAAAATAGCAGAGCGAAGCATACGTTGAAGAAAACGGAGGCTGTGATGAGGTGATAGCAATGGGATCGCTCTGAGGTATTTGTGTCCCCATGATGTCTTGCTGGAACTGTGCATTGCTGATAGGTCTTATGAATCGTGATGGATACTGGAAAGCTCCCGACTCGAGTAATCCCGAGGAGCGATTGTGTATGTGCTGTGAACTTACGAAGCGCTTAGAAGTCGTAGATTCCGCAAACAATGTAGGGGTAGTAGTAGGAATGGGACTTCGACGATACACTTCCACTGGAGGAGGGAACGTTGGAGCTTCGACCGAATAAGCAGCTTGGACCACATTCTAGAAAAGATTTGTTCAGTCAAAAGCTGTTTAGTAGCAGAATATTTGAATGAGAAAATATCTGCATTAAATATCTGCTCAAAATTCGTTTATTCTTGTTTTTCAATGACGATTTTGAATTAAGAACCCTTCTGAGATTATAAATGTTATCCTTTGCAACTTTCTGAACTTTTTACGCTTGTTCAACTAGACACTCCTCCGACACGCAGAATATGATGGGAAGGATATGCGAACAATGCTATAAGAATGATAAATGTAAAAAAGGAATATGAATAAACTCTGATTTCGGTTGT